TGCTATTTTATTTATTTGTATTAATTCATTACATTGATATACACAATGTACAACAATTCAGAAGTATTTTTCAGCATTTGCACTGATATCGTATAATTATGCATATTGTTTACGTAAGCATCAAATAATAACAGTAGTTGGAAGACAACGAAAAAATAACAACATGTCGACATAATTATAATCCAAAGTAGAATTCAATAAAACAAGGGCAAAACATCGACAAGAGAAAGATTGCAATCTCCTAAAAATGTACAAGGAGAATAAACCCAGGTTCCGGAAGAATAAGCGTCCTTCAGATTTTTTTGAGGCGTTACACTATGTACAAAAATAATCGAGTAAAACATGGACAACATTTAATAGGAATATAGCGTTGGACCGACCTCGATGTTCTAATGCCAAACTATGAATCCATGCAGAATATGGCATAATCTCCTTGATATAACGTGCTCGTGTTGGTGCATAATTCTTTTAGGATATTAAATCGAACTTAATGATAGATTATCATAACTATCCCATAATTTGTTTGGTTTCATCTCTAAACAATATGCGACGTGTATGGATACACTTAAAAGCACCTTGGCTTTATTCTTTTTATTCTCTGTAAATGCAAACATGTCACATGATATTGATATTTTTAACGTTTCTTTTTATTAACAGAACTTTTACATGAACGTTTAGACTACGAGATGGTGAATAGGTAAGTACACAATCTATGACATAAACAAAAACGTCCATAGTTACAGAATTGTACATAAATAGAAGTATATACATCAAACATATCTTCATCAGTATAGTGTATTGATTTAAGAATAAGCTAAATAAGTATTGACATGAAATGTATATGAGTATTCTATAATGTACGTATATTTGTGATAGATATTAACGCCCCACTTTCTTTTGACATCGTAGATTTCCAGACAAGGATGAGCATGTATACAACATGCCTGAAACTGATGAAATACCTACTACGTAGACAGTGGAGGAAGAAGAGGACGACTAGGCCTTTAGATATATATCTGTGGCAATATTTACGTCTCTCGTTTATATCATGAAATTAACGAGGAGTCAGTAGTTACATAGTTCAAAATGAGATAAACTCGATTTTTTTTTACTACAAACTCGGTGTGTTCTTTTTTGTAAGAACTTCTATTCTACAAACTCGATGAAATTGGGAATAGATAGACAAAAAAAGAAAAAAAAAAAAAAAAAAACCTTAACAATGAAACAAGAAAAATAAGGTAAGTTATTCCGGATTTCACAGACGGCACCCGCCATGTGATTCTGAGTCAATCATAATAATGTCACGTTGTCAAAAATTAAGCCATGTCAATGAACCGGGGTCATTAGGTACATTATCATCGATCACTTCCTACGTCATATTTCACAAAGATTTTTTACCACTTTCATTGAGAATAAAATTCTCACCGTAGTCTTCATCAACCTGCTTCTCTAGGGAATTGATTTGTAAATGATTTCATTACTGTTTGGTGGGTAATAAAATAAAGTAACGACCCGAAGTCAATTACTTGGATTGATCTACATTAATTAATAATAATTAATAATAGATTTCAGGAGCGTGTGTAAATCATACACGAAACAGATGACCCTCGTTGCCGTTTCCATGGTTCTAAGTATAAACATTGTTCTTTTGGTTGCGATGGATCAAATTGGTAAGGGTTGCATACCTTTTCACATTCAGAGAACTTTCAAGATGAAGCCAAATGGCTGACGAAAGTCAATCTTTTTCAATTCAATGTTGAGAGGTTGTTTAAGGTAAAATGAAGGTGACAACATACAAAGCCGTCTTAGAGCAGACTGTAACTGCAACTGTAACTTGTTTTGTAGACATATGTTATCATATTATAGTGTTAGGTAACATGTTTTGTACAAAAATAAAATACCTATCGCACACCAGACTTTTTTTTATCTATTGTCATACAAGGAATGCATCACCCTGGCCATGGTTTATATATTAATGATGGAAACACTACACAACATTTATGTAATTATGGGTCTATGTTTATGTGATATAACCATTCCATGTTTCTGTTGACCTGCCCCCTTTACTGTGTAAAATAACATACCACACAACTCATGGCTGACCAACCGGAAGTGGTTTATTGCCGCTTACGTAATACACAACAATTACATAGCCGCTTATAGCATTACAAAATTATGTTACATACTGGGTGTTAGTATAACTGGACATCTTTGTATTGAATAAAAAGTTTTCGCAACCACTGTTACAGAGAGCAAACATGGACAACGTCACTTCCGGTATTTAGAAAAAGGTTCACGGGGTCTGTCTAAAGTAAAATGCAAAAAGCAAAGATTGAAGGAAGACATCTCGCATCTTGAAACAAATACATAACAGATAATTGTTCCTTTGATAACCCAAGTTATTCTGTAGCAATATCCTGTATAAATATTGCTAAAACTCTCTTAATGTATAAGAATACTAAACGTACTAGCGATGCGGCCGTGCAAAATAGGGTATCGGGAGTTTGAAAAAGGCTATATTGACACATTGAACTCCAGACTTGATGAATTTAAAAGAGTGATAATTGACCATTTACTAAATTGTCTTACAAGTCTTGCAACAACCCCACTTCCCTCCCTCCCTCCCCCCCCCCCTCCTTTCCATATCGTTTTCCCAAATTTTTCGTTATCATTAAGGTCACTTATTTAGAAAAATCAAAGCGAAATTCATACTTAATTGTTGAATATACCTTAATCCAAACCAAAATGTGATAAAAGTTTCAATAACATTTATGTTTCAGCTGTACACTAAAGATCATAAAGAGACACACTGGTGAATATCAGATCAATATCACGTCTGTCTTTATGACGTCACTTTACATTATGATATTAGTGATCACTTCGCAATTGTCGTTTATGACGTCACTCTACAGTATGAATGGCAACACAACGTATTTTCTTTGTGACGTTTTGACAAGAATATGACTATATTGATCACCTAACTTCTGTCCTATGTGAGGTTACTTTAAAATATCACAATAATGGTAACTTGATATATGTCCCTTATGATGTTAATCTTCAATTTATCAAAAAGTATTATACATAATATAGGTTAGGTTCACGACTTTGCTTTACAATATTAAATTCATATTCATGTATTACTGCTATAGCACAATAGTAACAAACGTCATACTTTGTTAATATGAAAGAATACATCTTGTAATGGACCTTACTAATCCGGATGTTTTATTACCGGTTTGGTTTCGACTTTATTGTGATCTTTTGACCTGGGCGCGGCCATACTTGACTTGCAGCGAAAAACGTTCTGTAGCTATACGATAACAGAAAAGGGACTATCGTATAAAATGGATATGTACAAGAAAACATCTAAAGCACTTAAACATCAAGGAAGCCAGATTAAAGAAATGATAAGTAGTAAAATAACGTTAAGTATTATAAGAAATAAATATCACGAGTGGCTTAAGGAGCTTGAACATTTTATGGTGACCCATTCTGAAATTTTCCCTAACTTGTCTGAAGATGAAAGGGACGATTTTGATACCCAACATGAGCAATATGATGTGTTCCTTAGAAACATGAAAGGAGAGAAAGAGAGTTACTTTCTTAGTCATGACCCTAAAGAAGTTAAACAGACTAAAGCAAAAAGTCACGTATCGCAAAAGACATCTTCAAGTCTCGAAACAGTCAGGGCTGAACGCATAATAGAAGAACAAACAATCGCGACTCTCAGTGCTAATAAACGAAATATGGCAAAAAGGCGTAAACTTGAAATGGCCAGATTAACATCAAAATTTCAAGAAGAAGAACTTGAAGTTAATACCGATTTAGAAATTTCGACAGCAAAAACTGCAATACTAAAGAAATACGAACAGATGGAAGGAATTTCAGTTGAAGGTAGTGTAGCTGGTTATCTAAATCCGTATGCGCCTTCTTTTAAACCGACTTTCGAATCGAATCATCTACAAAGTGCAGATCGAGTGCAAACAGAAACTGACGAACACTCGAATGACTTTCTACGGCAGCCTGTCGGTGCTGACAACAATCTATTGAAGCCTGCTGGGTCAGATGGAAATCTACGGAAGCCCAGTGATGATATTAGCACACTATTTGTACCGCAGCCCGGAACTGTCTCAAATGTGAATGGCGTTTCTCAAAATGATGCGAATGACACTGCAAACGTTGTGCAAAATATTGTCAAATACTTACGAAAGCCAACGCCAGAAATAAGTAAATTTGATGGCAACCCTATGGAATACCATAGATTCCTTCGTCAATTCAAAATACCGAGACAGATTCTGAAAGGATGAATTACCTGGAACAATTGACCTCTGGAGAAGCTAATAAAGTTGTTTCTGGTTTCGGTCACTTACCTGATGCGGTCGCTTATATGTCAGCAATGAAAACTCTAGAGGAACGTTATGGTGATAATGACGTCATAGTATCCGCATTTGTGAAATAGGCTTTAGAATGGCCACCGATAAAGGATGCCAAATCGCTGGATGAATTTTCGCTTTTTCTCGCAGAATGTGAAAATGCGGCCTCTAGCATAAATAGTAGTTCAGTGCTAGACTTCTCGGAGAATATCAAACGTTTGTTATCGAAGCTTCCAGTATATATGCATGATCGCTGGAGAAATATAGTAGTACAAAACAAGGAAAACAAGAAAAGCGTCCAGTTTGCAGTCTTTACTTCGTTCCTCAGAAGGAATCAAAGAAAGCCAATGATCCAACCTATGGAACAGCTGCGATAAGCGGAACGACAAAAAATCGTTACTCGAGTAGACCTACTGGAGCTTCCGCCAACATCAGTGGGATAGTGAATGAACCGAGCTCATCAAATGCAACAACCTTTGACACCGTGCATGTGGCATGAGATGTTCATTTTGTGATGGTGCACATAAATTAGAGTTGTGCAAGTCTTTTATCGCCAGGAGCCTAACAGAGAGATATACTCACCTTAAAACGAAGGGGCTTTGCTTCGGGTGCCTCAATAAAGGTTACATGACGAAAAAGTGGTTGTCTCAAGTTCTTGAACTGGAGCATGCCAGAATTAACAGATGCTACAAACCAAAAGGCTTTGGCGAAATAACTTCGTGCCAATTACATTGCTTCTTCTCTGATGCCAGCGAACTTGGCACAGGAATAGCCATCTACTTGCGACTACGAAATCAAGACGGAGAGATCTATTGCACATTTGTATTAGGAAAGAGTAGAGTTGCCCCTCTTAAAGTAATAACTATTACTAGGATGGAACTTACTGCCGCGAACGTAGCTGTCAAACTCGCCAAACTAGTGTCTGAACAGCTAGACATGCAAATAGACCGAAATATTTCTGGACTGACAGCACGTCAGTGTTGAAATACATTGCCAATACGAAAATGCGGTTCCATACATTTGTTGCAAATAGGCTAGCGGTTATTCACGAGGCAACCTCTGTACAAGACTGGAACTGTGTTAGCTCTAAACAGAATCCTGCGGATTGTGCATCTAGGGGAATCCACAGGGTTGACAAATTCATTGGCCATGATGAATGGTTCAAAGGACCGGAATTTCTCTGGAAATGTGAGGGAGAATGGCCTACAATCTCCGAGTCTTCTGTCGTGGAAGACAATTTGTCAGATGACCCAGAGGTGAAGGAGACAGTGTTTTCTGCCTTACTACATACTTTGACGGATGATCCAATCACGAAGTTGACACAAGATGTTTCTGATTGGTGGAGATTGAAAAAGAAGTTGTGACTCGTGTTAGCAAATCTAGATTAACTTCAATCGAACTAACAAACAATGCTGAGAAATTTCTCATCAAACGTGAGCAGCGAGAAGCCTTTTCGAAGGAGTTATCGGATATTCGCTCACCCAGCAAACTAGTCAAGCTCTCGTCAAAACTAGTTAAACTAGATCCGATGCTGGACGATGGAATTATGAAGGTAGGAGGAAGATTGGATAGATCCAATATGACGTATGAAGCGAAACACCTGATCATCTTGCCCAAAAACTCGAGGATCGCAATACTGATCGTAGCAGGTGTGCACAAATCCAATGGCCATCTAGGCAAGAACACCATCCTGTCTATCGTCCGACAGAAATATTGGATACTAGGGGCTTCCGACTTAGTGAAATCAGTGACATCCAAGTGCGTCTTATGTTGGAAATATCAAGCCCCTCTACAGAAACAGAATATGTCAGATCTTCCTAAAGAGAGACTAAGATCCGATCAATCGCCCTTTTCAGAAGTTGGTATGGATTACTTCGGACCTTTCGAAATGAAACGCGGAAGATGTTTGATAAAGCGGTATGGTGTTATATTTACCTGCTTGGTTTCTAGAGCCGTCCATCTTGAAGTTGCGTCGTCTTTGGATACCGATTCCTGTATCAATGTCATAAGAAGGTTTATTTCTAGACGCGGGAAACCGAACTTCATCAGGTCGGATAACGGGACCAATTTTGTTGGCGCGGAAAAGGAAATGCGAGCATCCATCGAAACGTGGAATACTGATCACATCCGTGACAATCTTATGCAAACGGACATTCATTGGGAATTTAATCCTCCCTCGGCCTCGCACTTTGGGGGAATCTGGGAGCGACTAATCGTGCGCAAAGTGCTCTACGGTGTGATGCATCAACAAATAGTGTATTTGGACAATGAGGGCCTTCATACTTTGTTTTGTGAAGTGGAATCGATATTAAACGGAAGACCACTTACCGAATTACCCGACGGTCCTAACGATTTAGAAGCACTTACCCCGAACCATATTCTATTACTGCGGCCTGGGGAATTGTTTCCACCCGGAACATTTTAATATACCGACAATTATGTTCGCCGAAGATGGAGACAAATACAATATCTGGCGGATATATTTTGGAATAGATGGACCAAAGAATACTTACCTCTTCTCCAACAAAGACAAAAGTGGTTTCGTGTGGAACGTAACATCAAAATAGGAGATCTGGTTCTCGTAGCTGACAATACTCCGCGAAATTGTTGGAGTCTTGGGAGAATCGTCGACGTTGAACAAGACTCCAATAAAGTTGTTCGTGTCGTTAAAGTAAAGACTGCTTCAACTACTTTGACGTGTCCGATATCCAAGCTGTGTCTACTTCTTGAGTCTGACTGTTGAAACCTAACTCTATTTTACGTGGTGGCATAAGTGGGACGGACTTGACATTATATGTATTTTTGACATTTGATTGTTCATTGGTTATCCTTATCTGTATTTACTTATGTCCATTCCTTTGAGTAAATTTCATCTAGGTAAGATAAAATTTAGGGGCTGGTGTAATGGACCTTACTAATCCGGATGTTTTGTTACCCCGGTTTGGTTTCGACTTTATTGTGATCTTTTGACCTTGGCGCGGCCATACTTGACTTGCAGCGAAACACGTTCTCTAGCTATACGCAATTTGACTCATATGACGATACCAGCAAACAAATTATGGCAAATATGATGCAAGTATGTCGATTTAAATGCTTGTATCTTGAGATATCCTTTTTAATTGTTCTGATGTTGATTTAGGTGTTTCGTTCTATTTTTAGATTTGTAAACGATTGTGTCATGATTTGTGTATCGGGTACAGTAGTGCATATGTATAAGCATTTGGTAATTTTGATGTAGGGTAATTTCAGTGTATCTGGAGTATTATGATTTTATTATTCTAAAGCAAGAATACTTTATTATGTTTGAAACCAATTTTATCGATTGATACAAGAAACTTCGTATGTTTAATTTTTGTCCTCAGTTAATCTTTTCTGCTTATGGAATCAGTGATGATGAATAAAGAAAGTAGAGACGAATTATCACATGAGCTGGTATGTTACTTGAACAACGAAGCTATACATCTGTCTTACTATGATGTTATACATCTATCTTAATATGATAGTATACATCTATCTTAATATGATTAAATACTTGTATAGTATTATGATACTACAAATCTGTCTTAATATGATAGTATGCATCTATCTTAATATGATTGTACATATCTGTCTAATATGATGCTATACATCTATCTTAATATGATAGTACAAATCTGTCTTAATAGGATAGTATACATCTATCTTAATATGATTGTACACATCTGTCTTGATATGTTATACATATATCTAAATATGATCAAACACATCTATCTTAATATGATGTTATACATCTATTTTAATATGATAGTATACATCTATCTTAATATGATTAAATACTTGTATCGTAATATGATAATACAAATCCGTCTTAATATGATAGTATACATCTGTCTCAATATGATAGTAAAACATCTATCTTAACATGACACTATCTAATCCGAAAACATACACGCGTTTAATTATACAGTTGTATATTACATGATCAATTAACATTAGCATGAATAATTCGATACCCTTAAATGTTTTAAGCGTCTAGATTCCTCGGGGCGTCCTTTGTTACTGCTCCCTCGCTCTACAAACCAGTACATGGACACAATCCTTATCTAACTTTTAAGTATGTCGATGTTTACATGTCTCAGGTTATGTTCTATAACCGTTTCAAAATTTCACCATTTTCACGACTACTTGGTAGTCAATGATTGCCGAAGGTTTACATTGTGTATGTCGCCGATGAATTAGAAAGCTGTCCGAAACACCTTATATCATCGTCCTCCATCAATAACTTGGCATAGATGTCATCAAATTGTAGTGTTTTCCCACAATTAAACACTAACATTTGGCCCCAAGTTTCACTGACGAGTACCAGAAGGACAACATGATGCATTCCTTTCTTAATGTTTTCAAAGTTTCCTCGATATTTTTGCTAAAATGTTTTGTTCTTAGTAATCGATCAGACAATATATGCTTAATCTGATTCCTCGATTGAACTAAAACTTCCGTTATGAAAACTAGAAACGTTAATGGTACCACATCGATACATACAGCTAGGGTGTTATAAAACAGGTATCCTACACTAGGACCTCTGTCTATATGCTTGGTATTTCGTAATGTTCAGGAATATTATACACATGTTCATTTCCGTTTTGAGATCCCCTGTTGTAAAAAGAAGAGATAATATCATTTACGTTTTAATTTACTGATTAGCAAGGCGATATGTGTTTGTTAGCTTTTTCATTATATTGACATTCGAATGACATTACTTCGAAATAATCCACCAATGCAAATCATAAAAGCAATTGAAATATGGGGTCAATAAGTGCATCTCCTCACCCCCTATCCACCAGCACACAACACATCCAACCCAAACCCTGCCTTCGCATCAATAACTTGGCATTGATTTCAGCAAATAGTAATTTCACACAGTAAAACTCAAACATTCGGCTCACCCCTCACTGACGAGTACCAGAAGGATAACATAGTTGAGAGATGCAACCTTATCAATTTTTGTGTTTATTTAATACAACCGTTTACTAAGAAATCGCGTATTTCCCAGTTTGTTAACTGATTCTCCGTACAAAATCGATTATATACTTACTTATTGACCACCTCGTAGTCCACTTGTTGGTGTAAAAGCTCTGTTAATAAAAAATATCAACACAAGATGTATATCATTTGTCACGTTAACCACGTGTTAACCACAAATATCAACACAAAATGTATATAATTTGTCACGTTAAAGCACGTGTTAATAGCAAATATTAACACAATATTTATATAATTTGTCACGTAAAAGCACGTGTTCATTACAAATATCAACACAAGATGTATATAATTTATCACGTAAAAACACGTGTTTATAACAAATATTAACACAAGAGGTATATAATTTATCACGTAAAAGCACGTGTTCATAACAAATATCAACACAAGATGTATATAATTTATCACGTAAAAACACGTGTTAATAACAAATATTAACACAAGAGGTATATAATTTGTCACGTAAAAGCACGTGTTAATCACAAATATTAACACAATATTTATATAAATTGTCACGTAAAAGCACATTTATATACAAATATGAACATAATATGTATATAATTTGTCACGTGAAAAACACGAAGATAGTGATAGTGTAGAGATATATGAATTATATAAAAACGTTTTCTTTATTAGTCTCAATGTTAAACCTGCATGCTACGTTTTAATTAATTCAAATATTTACACGATCAGAATATACATATGTATGTGACGCCCGTCTGTATTTATCAAATATATGATCATGATAACATTTATTGAATTATGGAACTTATGTACATCCTTATTTCGATTTATCAATTTAGATTTTCCTCACTCACCCCCTAGTGGTTGAATTTTAGACCCTTAGCATCACCAATGAGTCCTAGAAGGACGATACAGCTTTTTGACACAGTTTCATAAATTGTCTGACTCTACTGTATCTAAATATGAAATATCAGAAGGTGCTATTCAAGGTTCAATCTTTGAGATGGCAGGTGGTAGACACTGCTGATCGACTTGAAGTCCCCGAGTTCTGCCCTAACATATACCGTATATACTTGTCTATAAGTCGATTCGCCTATAAGCCGGAGGTACGTTTTTGGGTTAAAATTTTGGAATTTAATATTGACCCTGCCTATAAGACGGCATCAAAAAATGCTCCGGCAAAAAATCGAGTGAAACTTTCTGGAAGTAAAGTTAAATGATCGTGAATAAAATTTTGTTGGAAATCTACCGTAGGTATTTTTATTTCAGAAATGAGATCATGTACCGATACGTGTTTGTCATGATCGTGGAGATGGAGAGTGCCAAGTCAGTTAAAATTTAATGTTAAAAGATCGTTTCTGCTCTCAATATATATAAAGACATAACGGTATTTCAATAAAATGTCATTACATTTTTTCAAGTTCTTGTGTTTATAAACATGGAAGATTATACAGTTCGATCGTCAGTCCTTCGATCAAACGCACAGATCAATCACAATTCATTTCCACGCCCTACCTGCATACGTGTCCAACCAGGAACTTAAGGAAGTTCTGGTAGGTGTGTAATGTTGAAAACGGACCAATCAGGACAACGCGGCATGGTGTCATTAATATCTATCAAATCATTGTGCACGTGCTACCCACCTCGTTTACACCATGCTAATTGACCATCGGTCTGCCTTGATTGATCTTTTGTTCTTCGTAATTGCCGTAAGTACTATGTATACACATTCCCGCACGGAACATTTTTGGAAAATTATGGTGTGATTTTTTGCTCACGGTCAATGACTCGCCTATAAGCCGGACCCCTCCTCGGAGGTCATAAATTTACTCCAGAAAATCCGGCTTATAGGCGCGTATATACGGTAAGCCACATTTAACTGCTTTCGTAGAGTGACACGGTTCAGAATATACACATGTTCTTGACTCAGTTTTAAATTTGTCTGAAATATGAAATTTACATTATTTACTTAATTACGAGGGTTCTTCGCCTCCTTGTATAGATTTTGACTTTTCTTTTAACCACTTTGGATTTTCCTTAGTCGCCAAATAGGCTACTAGGACCTCACCATCATTGACGAGTCCTACAAGGACGAAACAGATGAACGATGCAGTTAGATTCATTGTTTGACCCTGCTGTGTCTAATTCTAAATTTATATATTAAAAATTGTATGTCTTATATATATTATCTGATATTTTTACATCTTTACATCATAGATATAAAAAGGTAGTCCTTACCTTTGTATTTTCGTACTTTCAGCCAGAGACAAACAACACAAACGACGAGAGATGCGTTAACAGCAATGGAAATACCGGCGACAATCCAAGATCCGACGTTATCTGTTTAGAAGATGAACCATTACTATATGATTTACAAAAGACAGTGGCGAATATTCTTCCAGATTTCCATGTACAGTAACGACAACTCCTCAACTAAACAATGATAATCAGAATATAGGTTGGATATACACGTAGTATATATTACCATTCGAAGAAGTCTTCAGAAGATTTGTATACTAGAAACATGTTGAGGTTAAGTTTTCTGATCATCGGTATAATGTCTGCCGTCGTGAAAACACTATGGCTATTTACTTACTGTTTTTAATGTCTTACCTGTGTTTTGAAAATATACAGTTGTCGTTGATGAAGAAATATCTGTGCAAAATATCAAAGAGACATTGTATATTAGTAATTGAACAAGGTAAACTTAAGTGTTTAAATAAAATATAATATCAGAATGCAGTTACGGTTCCAGGTCATATTGGCAAATTAAACGCTAACAGAACCGACTGTTTAATGTGACCATGTCAGTATATAACACATACACATACGAACGTTGCACTACCATAGCTAGCTATCCCCGACCTAGAATATATAGTTAAATATACAATAGCAATAATGTTCAGAATTAGAGTACAAGACACGATTATTCTGTGGACAGCTTTCAAAACGGATTAGATAACGAAATGTTTCAGATCAATGCAATACTTGTCATTACAATATCAGGTCTACTTCAGAAAGGTATTTATTTCTTATCATTTTATCATTTCCTAACCTTGTTTTGAATAGAAGCTAACACAGATGTCGCTGTTGGAAATATATTTGAGGAAAAATAACATCATATTTACTATATATTTCTGAAAAAAGGTGGTAATGTAACACATTTTATTGGAAAATTCTAATGATCTAATCCCTGATATAGTTTTGAGTTCTGCCTCTAACCCAAAGATGACCTCTTGTCAATTGTCTCTAAGCAATGTCCTTTATTTTATCATCATGGCGAATAAATATCTTTACCATTTTTGTCAATTATGATTTTCTCAATATCATTTAATTCTTACAATTTCTGATCGAATAATAAGACTTCAGCTGCGCTGGATTAGAGCCACACACAGTTCCAGTGTACGGTTCACACATAAACGTGGTATTGGAATCGGCAGAAGTGACGTTGTAGGTAAGTGTACTGGTACGCTTGTAATTACAGTTCTCCTTGATCAAACCATCATCATTCTGATTTATATGTGATGCGGTCGGGTAACCCTGGAAACCAGAAAACAACATAACACTTTCACTCAAAAATTTTAAGTTTCATCTCCAATGTCAACAGTTGTTGACAGATCCTTCAACATTAGCAAAACGATGTGAATCCATCCTTCTTCTCCAATTCTTTATCCAATTATTTGATAAATCTAGAATGTATCTGACGCTGCTTTGCCTGGATTAGATTTACTAGTGTATAGAAAGCATGGAACTTAGATACAGCCCAATTACAGAATAAACAGAGCTCCTATTAAACAGAGTTAAAATTGGATTTTTTTATGACCAAACTATTTCACAAGTTATGATAATAGATATCCAGATTGCTCATAGTCCAGTTTACTTTTGCGAAGTGACTTTATATTTACAAATATCCAGATAACTCACAGTCAAGTTTACTGTTGCGTAGTGAAAGAACATTTACATATCACTTTCTATTAAACAATGGTTACCGTATATGAGCTGTCACTGGCTCGCTTGTAACACCAGGTGTGTCTCTGTTTGTCAGTGCCAACCGTTCCGGTACAGGAGAATGTCATCATAGTTCCAACAGAATAGTAATTACTGTTCACATTGGGTAATGGTGTCACAGACAGAGAGTTGGTATAGGTGGGACTTTCTGTAATACAATGAACCATCATACGTTCATACAACGTTACAACATAATGGTACAATTTTTTGTGTCCAAACTCCTATTATAGGTTTAAATTTGATCATCAATATCTTACAGAGCAACGATCAATAAAACTGAAAGAATATAATGAATAAGTCTTTATCATACTTAACATTACAATAAAATTATTCCTATCATTTAAATAGATTGGTTTTTTAGCATAAAACTATATTATCAAGCTTTAATTCCAGGCTGCAAAATAACTTTGAAGAGACTCTGTTGTTCCTCATGGTATTTCTGAGTCAGTTTTGTTTTTACTTAGAAAATTTTGTTACATAAGATGACCAAGTACATACCTTTAGCAGTGACATATTTATCATCAGTAGTGACCCCACCACTACCACCTGTCAGAGTGACTCCCATTATACATTGATAGGCTCCACCATCGTTACATGTCGTCCAATTAGCTGCTATAGTTAATACGAGCTGAGCACCAGACACAGAGTCCACATTTCCCGTCACTGTCACCCCTTGCCTGTTCTGATGACCTGTTGTACCCCACGATAATAATGATAATGCCGAGGGTTTATCATAGGTAACAGACACTATTGTTGTATAATCTGTAGTGCTGGTATTTTTCCTTATCCTAATACTATTGACATCGTTTATACCAACTGGGCTTGGTTGACAAGTAATTTTCAGTTCTGATGCTGGTGTTTGCAAAGTACTTGTCCCTGTTAAGGTAATGGACTGTCCAGAAACTGGAAAAAATATCAGAAACAATACCAGTTTAAATCTCCTGACAGGTAGTTATGTGAGCATTGACGTGACTCGCTCCCTAGTTTGCTAGTTAACTGATCACAAGTCGTGTGACGTATCACACAATATTTGATACGTATCACACAATATATGATATTTTACACAAGATATGGTACGTAGACTGCTATACTCGATTTGCATTGCTAGAGAAATCATTTAAGTTGTAGTTTGATTAAATTATGCCTGTTATCAACAACCATACACTGTTAAAGAAGCATTTCCACCGCCCATTGATCTGTCAGTGGTTTTTACAAAGTTCATACTACCTTTCAGCTCATTGCAGAAGTTTTGTGATAATTAGCATTGTCGTTATTTATTTTGGACTCGCGCAGTGAGCTCATGCATTTGATAAATAAATTCGAAATAAATAGTGAAAAGGACGAGGAGACTAATATGTGTACTTCAAAAGCTGTATACAGAAATAAGGATTTATATTTACAGGTGTACATATAGGGATAAAGACAGAATCTCTACAGTGCAGCGAGTACATTGTGGATAAGAGCAGACTGTCATAAACACGTCTGCACGTCGTATGGCTTAGTGGTCCCTTGCCTCACTGTCTCTAACACACGATACAATGTATTGCATTACATAAACGTAGACACTTCGCCAACAGTGGGCGAGGCCATAGATAGATCAGGTATCCGGTAATACAACTTGTCCTGAAGTGTATTTTAGTTTTGTGTTAGCACTATACAAACACAAATACAATTTTAGCTGCCGAGGTACAGGGGATTCACACGTACAATATCAAGACCAGTGAGAACACCTAATTGTTATTACTACAATTATCATGATAATTAGCAATTACCAAATAATTATCAGAGACAAGTATTTATTTATGTTACCTGTATTGATACATAAGTTTACCTGTATAGATGCGTAATGTTACCTGTATTGATATGTCAATGTTACCTGTATTGAAACGTTATGTTACTTGTATTGATACATAATATTACCTGTATTGATACGTAAATGTTAACTGTATAGATACGTAAATGTTACCTGTATTGATATATAATGTTACCTGTATACATACGTAATATTACCTGTATTGATACGTAATGTAACCTGTATAGATAAGTAATGTTACCTGTATAGATAAGTAAATGCTACCTGTATAGATAAGTAATGTTACCTGTATAGATAAGTAAATGTTACCTGTATAGATAAGTAAATGCTACCTGTATAGATAAGTAAATGTTACATGTAAACGATGGAAATGACATGCGTAAACTGTGACCAGGGTCTGGAATGCTTGTGTAAACTGTGACCACTAGAATGACCAGTAAATGGTAAAGGTCACTTACCTGTGAAAACTGTGACCACTAGAATGACCAGTGACATATACATGACTGATACAAACAGGGTGTCGCAGCTTTTTTCTTATATTTAAGAGAGTTACTTCGTAACGACGATACATCTATTGCTATACATGTATCTACTGCCCTGTCTTATCTCTTTCCGTACCACATGTTCCGTGCTTCCTGCCGCATCTATTATTTGTTCGCGTCACGAACTCGTTTAAGAATCCCCTCAAATACATCTACAATTCACCCTCATAGGATCGTTCTCCACCATCCACCGTGGGGTGCTCTAGCGTGGAGGAAATCAACACTCCACGTTACACCGTGGAGCTCTCCACCACGACTCCACGCTTCACGGAGAAACGTGGAGAAGCGTGGAGGTCGATGCAAGCCTAATGGCTACTTACCGAGTTACATGTACTGCCCTATTTTTTTTTATTTCGGTCGACAACCGCCACAATATGCTGTCAATGTAATATTTTAAAACGTGCATCCATTTCGTTCATAAAGAATTTTATATAGCAAACAGAGTATTAATTTTATGACACAAATAAGACGAGGTCAAGCTGAAATAATTATCGGCTGATATGCCTTTTGCATTTCTCAAGGTGCATCGGCATATAAGAAAAAATAGCAATTTGATCTAATAACATCGGGTTTGAAACTTTGTAAGCTGTACGCATGCTTGCACTACAAAAAAACATCCCAGCTTGAGTATTTTTTCTAGTATCTGCATGAGCAGGTTTTCAAAAGAAAAAAAAATCTTTGTTTCTTTGTGTGCGTAATATTAGGCCGATTTCCAATTCGAATAGTCGACACTGAGACAGCGGCGATTTTGTGGGCAAATTGCAGGGAAAACATGGACAATCTAATGTAAATGTAAGCATGTTTAGTTATTCTCCTATATAAACTTTCATATTATGTAAAATTGCCGTGTGGAAATCTGCATGGTCATCTTCAAAAACAAAAAAAAAAAAACAAAAACAAAAAAACCGAAAAAACAAAAAAAAAAAAAAAAAAAAAAAAACAAAAAAACACAAACAAAAAAAAAACAAAAACAAACAAAAAATGGGGATCGTAATGTCTAGAGAAAAGTTTAATTTGAAAGTAAATTAGGCTTAATGAAGCAGATAAAATTGATAACAAAAACAAAATATTATGACGTCTACCAGTATTTAAAGTCATAAAGTTGTAAGCTGCTTTAGATTTTTACAGAAGTGAAACTGGACCTTAATAGCATTTGGACATCTTAAATGTAAAGAAACAATATGAATTCAAACAAAGCAGTAGTAAATGTATTCTAGGTGACGGGAATTGTGCCATAATATGACATAATTTTGGAGGTGTAAAGGTTACAGGAACTGCATTTTGATCCACGAAGACCCAAGATAAAAGCCTTCTGCCTGATACTACGCTATGTCAGCATCCACTTGCGTTCATACCAACGTAAACGCAATACAAACTTAAATGCTTATATAGCTTCTTTTGTTGTTGTGTAAAGGACTTCGTACTAATTCGTTTGTTTTCATTATATATAGCCTTGCTTTTTATCGCATACGATACCTTTGACCTTTTGACCTAAAATAATCCCAAGCAAGCCTGTTTGTTAAGGAACCACTGTATGAAGTTTGAATTCATGGAGAACTCAAGTTCTTGCGAAAAAAAAAAACCTATGCGCGGACATCGCCGCCTATATGGCGACACAACAACTAGCGTTCTAAATTTTTCAAACGGCAAATATGGAAGGAGTCAATTAGAATCACGAAAAATGACTGGCTTTAAAAAATTCAAAAAAATAAAAATAAAAAAAACCCCAATGAAATGAGCTAGTTTACAAGTTTATTAATCTCTCCAGACACACCGTAAGT